AAAAAAAAAAAAAAAAAGAAAAAGAAAATAGCTGTACACACTAAGCAATACATAGGAGTGAGCTACCGATATACAGAAAACCTGAAGGATATCACAGACAATATGAACAGTGGGAAAAAAAGCCAATCTCAAAAGGTTATCTACTGTATGATGCCACTTACATATCATTCTCAAAATGACAAAACTGTAGAGATGGAGAACATATTACTGGTTGCCTTGGGACAGGGCTCGGGGAGGAAAGCAAATGGAAAAGGCCACTTCTCTATGGTGTCTGTATCTTGATTGTGGTGGTGGTGGTTACACACATTTATACATATGATAAAACTGCGCAGGTACCCACAGGCACACAAATGCATGCTCACAGAAATGAATGTGTGTAAAAATGGTGAAAAGAGGTACTATGAAAGGTCAAAGTGGGAGGATTGCTTGAAGCCAGGAGCTTGAGACCTATCTGGACAACACAGGAAGATGCAGGCTCTACAACAAATGAAAAATTAGCCAGGTGTGATGATGCATGCCTGTAGTCCCAGTGAGCACACCTATAGTCCCAGATACTCAGGAGGTTGAGGCAGGAAGTTCGCTTGAACCCTGTAGTTCAGGGTTTTAGTGAGCCATAATAGTGCCACTGCACTTTCAACCTGTGTGACAGAGTGAGACCTTGTCGCAAAAAAAAGGGTGAAAATTGAATAAAGTCTGTAGTTCAGTTTATAATAATACACCAATATCAATTTAATATTGCACTACATTTACAAGACATGGCCACTAGGGGAAGCTGAACATAGGGTTCACATGCATGTATTATTCTCGCAACTTCCAGTTTCAAAATAAGAAGTGTAAATAACTCTACAATATCCATGAAATGTAATTATATCCTCATTTTCTCCACTTGTCTAATTTTCTCACAGGCTTTAGAATGCCTGCTCTTTAAATTTAACAAGCTCTAGATGTCTGCTGAATGAATTTTATTTGGGAGATCAGTTTCAGGAGTAAGAGCTATAACCCCCTTGCCTTTAAAAGTGACACTATGATTTATAGTAATGAATTATACAAATAAATTTATAATAACAATTTATGGTGATACAATATATAGTAATACGAGACTTAGAATATTTTAAGTGTTAATAGGAACACAAAAAAGAGAGTTGGCTACTTTAAACCAACTACCTACCAGCTGATACTTATCCTTACTGTTTAGTTTACACACACTTTGCCTGGCTGCTGTCAATCTGTGCACACACCTCTTTCTGAGTTCTTGCTACACAGTCCAGAGGACAGGCCTTCCACATTTTGGGTTAGTCCTCATACTTCTCACTCCCACATTAATACCCCCCCACACCCAGTCTTCCAGATCATTTTCCATAATGAGGCATCTTTTGCCTCTCCAGCTCAAGTCCTGGAATGTGAAGGCTTACCTTGGGTAGACCAATGGACTCCATCGCTCTCAACCACTGGACGGTGTTATCTGTGTGTCGAAAGTGCAAGCCGGACTTCTAACATGAGAACAGGAGGGAACATAGGAGAGAAGAAATCACACAAAGAGTGAGCCATTTGTAAACGTTTTCATTAACAGGATGCTTTTCAACTATACTTCTCCTAGAAGAGAGCTATTAATACACCCATCAAATAAAGAGAGACACAACAAAGGAGACTAGACTGTATCTTGGCAACACCCCAACCATCTGTGATGGACCACAACAGTTTCCAGAATTCATACACTTGAGATAAATTCTGAACTAGACTCTCAAAGACCATTTGAAGTCTAGCACATGCCTAAGGATGTCTCACAAGACAAAGGTACTTGGGCGTGGGTGTGGGTGTGCATGCACAGTGTGAAGACTGGCAACCATGGCTGTGAAGCCCAGCAACTTCAGAAAAAGCAGGACTTTTAGAAGACTAAATGCTTTTTGTTTCATGATCATGAATGTAATATTTCTGTAGAAAACCTGGAAACAAAGAAAAATATAAAAATGAAAACAAAAACCAGCCCATGATCCGGACACTTTTAGTATCTGTTCTTCTAATGTAACCCTAAGCTTGATTTTGTATAAGAAGTAAACCTTCAGCAAAAGTATTATATGAGATCTCATTCTTCTTTACAGTTCTAACCAGATAGTCATTTCTTCTGCACAGCCTATAAATAAAGCATTCCTGGCTATGTCACATGAAAATGTATCAGGTAATGAACCATTAAGAGCTTTAAAGTTACCTTTTATTTTTCATTAATTAAATCCATAGCACAGGCTGGGCACAGTGGCTCATACCTGCAAGCCCAGCACTTTGGGAGGTGGAGGCAAGAGGATTGCCTGAGCCCAGGGGTTCAAGACCAGCCTGGGCAACTCATCAAGACCTTGTCTCTACAAAAAATCAAAAAATAAGCCGGGTGTGGTGGCATGCACCTGAGTTCCAGCTACTTGGAAGGCTGAGGTAGAAGAATCGTCTTGAGTCTAGCAGGTCAAGGTTACGGTGGCCGTTAGTGTGCTACTGCACTCCAGCTTGGGTGACAGAGTGAGACTCCAACTCAAGAACAAAATTTTAAATAAATAAATAAGTGCATAGCACAATGTTATCTATTATTTTTCACTTCTAATGAATGTACAAAAAAGTGACTATGGCAATTTTCATTATATAACTAACATACAATGATAGATGATCACATTCAGAAAGTTTGACTCTTCCTACCTTCTGTGACCTTCTATAATCAAAAAGTATTTTTATTGCTGATAGAATTTATAAAGTATAAGAAAATCGATACTTGACAAAAGTTAATGCTGTTTTTAATGGTAGCCACTATTTGTGACTAGACTATGTGATCCAAGCGCTTTATGTAAATTATCTCAGAAATATTACATTCATGATCAGGAAAAAAAAAAGCATTTAGCCTATCCTGCAGTATAATTAGCATCCTTATTTAAAAAAAATTTTATTTTATTGTAGAGATGAAGTCTTGCCAAGCTGTCCTTGCCGTGGGCTGGTCTCAAACCCATGGGCTCAGGCAATCCACTCACCTTGACCTCCAAAAGTGCTGGGATCACAGGCTGAGCCACTGAGCCAGGCCTGCATCCTCATTTTTTAAAGCTGAGGAAATCTAGGTCAAAAAGATGAAGTGACTGCCTAAAAGTCAAGCAGCTGTTAAGTGGCTAAGATGGGATTCAAAACCAGGTCTCCTGGATCTGAAAACCTTCCCTACACTAACACTCTCCCAGGGAAGAAAACAGGACCTGGTGATCCTCTGATTATTCTTTGGAAGGAAAAAGTTAACTAATTGCTATGAAATAGCTAGAGAAAAGAGACTGGAAGGAAGAGAAGGAGAAAAGGGAATAAAGGGAGAAAGAGAGCCCACAGCCAGTCCATACTGTTTGAGTGTTTATAACTCAGCTTTGATATCTTTTGCTTAATACAAACAATTCCCAGACTAGGCTGTTCTGTGGCCATGGGGACAAGACAGAAACAATCCACGATCAAGTCTAAACTAAGACAGATGAGGAGCCTCTGTACCACAAAATAAGTAAATGCCACCCTCTTTCAACTAATATGAGCTACTCCAGTTTCTTTGCTGATGACAATCTAAGTCCCCATTCAATCTTCCCGCTTCCTGACAACACCCAGCACAAGTCCAAATCTATGCTAAGCTGTCACTTCTCTTCCCTGTGGATCTGTGGGTATACATTTTTCTTATTCCAACAACTTAAATAAACCTAACCTCATTTGACCACAGTTAGATTTCTGGTGTCTTTGGTTGGTGGGCTTCAATAATCCCAAATCATATAATAAAGACACTCTTCTATTTAGTGATCCTGTTAGCTAAGCTATCTCAGGAAAGTAACAAACCTTGGGTTCCTCAGCAAAAAAAAAAAAAGGTTCTATAAGTTGCAGAGATTAAATGGAGAATACACAGAAAGTATTTCATTGCAAAGTGGACTAAGAAGACAGTAAATATTAGCTATTATAATTATCACACTACACAGTTAGGATTGAAACTTTCATCTACCTTTAAGGTCAGAAAAGGTTTAGCACTTCACGTAAAGAGGTATTGGAGAAAAGTGTGGCAATCTTGTTCATATTGCTACAACAAATAAAACGACAGATTTCAAAGGCTTCATCCCTTTGAAACACCTGAGAAGGCTGACTTCAGAACCCTATAGCCTATGTTTGTGTATTTGATAAACATACTTCAGTGATTTGCAGCAATATCACTTTCTTTTTAGAAATTTATTTTAAAGATGTGGAGTAGGCCGGATGTGGTGGCTCAAGCTTGTAATCCCAGCACTTTGGGAGGCCAAGGTGAGGGGATTGCCTGAGCCCACGGGTTGGAGAACAGCCTGGGCAACTTGGCGAGACCTCATCTCTACAATAAATAAATAAATTAGCCAGGTGTAGTAGCGTGCTTCTGTAGTTCCAGCTACTTGGAAGGCTGAGGCATAAGGATCACCTGAGCCCAGCAGGCTGACGCTGGGGTGGCCGTGAGCATACCACTGCATCCCAGTCTGGGCAACAGAGTGAGATTCTGACTCCAAAAATAAACAAACAAACAAACAAACAAACAAATAAATAAATAAAACAAAGATGTGGGGTACAGTTCAGGATTAGGTACATAAGTGGTCAACATACAGGTGAAGTTTGGGCCTCCCATTGGTCCTTGTTTCACCTGGTTTAGGATCAGGTACGCTTATTGATGTTGTGTGCGCCCTGCTCCCTCCTTTCCTGGCAGTGTCCTGCTACTGCCAATCCCTTTCTTATGAAATTATGGTAAATGCTTGGGGTCCACTTATGAGTGAGAACATGCGGTATTCAGTTCTTTGTTTCTGTGACAGATCACTGAGTATGTTAGACTCTAAATCCATCCAAGTTGCCGCTAAGTCCATAATGTTGTCCTTCTTTATGGTTGTGTAATATTCCATCATGTATCTGTACTACTTTAAAAAAAAAAAATCCAGTCCACTTTTGATGGGCGGCATGGTTGGTTCCATGTTTTTGCCATTGTGAAAAATGCTGCAATAAATTTGTGTATGCAGGTATCTTTTTTGTAGAATGATTTGAGTTCCTCTGGGTATATTCCAAGAAGAGGGATTGCTGGGTCATATGAAAGGTCAATTTTTAGATCTTTTAGAAATTGCCAGCCAGGCTCGGTGGCTCAGCCTATAATCCCAGCGCTTTGGGAGGCCGAGGTGAGTGGACTGCCTGAGCCCACAGGTTCGAGACCAGCCTGGGCAACGTGGCAAGACCTCATCTTTACAATAAATCAAAAACTTAGGCGGGCGTGGTAGCACGCGCCTGTAGTTCCAGCTACTTGGAAGGCTGAGGTGGAAGGATCTCTGGAGCCTAGCAGGTCGAGGCTGCAGTGGCTGGGAGCGGCCAATGCACTCCAGTCTGAGTGACAGAGTGAGACTCCAATTCAAAAAAAAAAAAAAAAGAAATTGCCACACTGTTTTCCACAAAGGTTGTACTAGTTTACACTCCCACTAACAGTATAGAAGCATTCCCCTTTCCCCACATCTTCTCCAGCATCTGTTGTTTTTTGAGCAATATCACTTTCAATAATAATAATAATAATTATTATTTTCAGTTCATCTTTTTCTGCCAGTCCTATATATTAATATTAGACTAGGTGACATGTCTACAGTTATATGTAGCCAAGGGATGCCTTTGTCCATCCTCCTGATGTCTTTCAGGTACTGAACTGGAAAGTATATGCTGAATTTTCACTAAGCTATTACAACACCCAAAACAAAGTTCACTTAGTTTAAATGGCATAGGTAAGAAATTGTGTGATGCCTTCTTTGAATGCTAACTTCCTATATGCTGGAATCAGAGTATTTTAAAACTATGAAGTGGCTTAAAAGCTAACAGTTTTCCTACTTTGCTTATTTTGTAAATGAGGAAACTGAGGATGCAAGTATGCAGGACCCTTGAGTTGACCTCATTCGTTAGGCTAAGGGTTAGCACTCGCTTGCAGAACCCCGACTCCAAGTCCAAATATTTTCTTCATTTTCCTGCTCTGGTGCCTCAAACAGCAGCCACCTCCCAGGTTCACAGGTACTTACACTGACCAGGTACTACACCGAGTGCCCTGCGTGGATCACATTTGCTCCTTGCTACATCTCTACGAAGGTGGATGGATTGGGACCAGAAGTGCTCCAGATTTAATATTTTTTCAAATTTCAGATGATCTACATTATGTTATGAGTGAGCATCCCTAATCGAAAATCTGAAATCCAATGAGCAATTGCTTTGACTGTCATGTCGACACTCAAAAAGCTCCAAATATTGGAGCATTTTGGATTTTTGGATTAGGGATATTCAGTCTATATTCCCACTTTACAGGTGAAGAAGCCAGACTCCAAGAGGCAAGAGTAGCAGTGAAACTAGACTCTGAAGTATTCTGATTCTACAGGTCACCTGCTAAGCACCGCATACCTTCCCTATGTAGGGCACACCTAAATATTCCACAAGCATTTATTATAAGACTACAGTGATCAAGGCACTGTCTGGAGACTATTTTTAAAAAATTTCTGGCCCTTGTCAGGCTGAGTCCTCTTCAAGGGATGCCCTTCCTTCCTCCTTTCTCTTGCCCATCCCAGTCTGCTTGGGGACACTCTCGAGTCTCTCACACTCCCACCCACTCACCTCCTGGCCCTTCAACACCCCACAGTCCCTTCGGAACAGGCAGGGAAGCTGCCTCCTCCTCAGTCCTCGCCACCATCCACCCCGCTGTTCCCTTGCAGCCTTCTGCCATGTCTACTTCCTTTCCAAAATTCGCCCTTTATGCTCACTCTGGATGCCATTCACTTCAGGCTGCACAGGCCACTGACCCCTGCTGCCTGGCTCTCTCTGAGAGAGAGCCTAGAGAGCCCCTCATGGGCTCTCCTCCACCCTCATCCTCCCTCCCATTTGCTCTCCACAGAGCAGTGACCAATTCTTCGGACACACACACACCGCGCCACGTGGCACCAGACCTTCTGTTTAAGGCTCCAACAGTTGCCCTCCCCCACCTTAGGATGAGCTCACGGGTCCTACATGGCCTATGGTCCTCCACCGCGCAATCTCATCTTTGCTTCCCCACCCCCAACTGTCCCACCACTGTCCCTCACCACAGCCTTTCAGCCATGCTGCTGTGGCCTAGCTCTTCTCTTCCCTACGTCTCTCACAAATGGGTTCCCTCTCTCGGGACTGTTCTTCCCACTCCCCTCCCCCTGGACTCTTCTCACTCTTCTGGCCTCAGAGAGGCCCGTCTCTCGCCTGTTGCTTTCCTACCACTTCCATGGCTTCCTTCAGACCTCTGACAACCCACAGCTGGGCACTCACAGGCAGGCTCCCCAGCCCTGAAGTCAGGTCCAGACTGCTCTGCCCTCTGCTCTGCTGTCAGTGCCCAGAACAGCGCCATGTGATAGGTGTTGAGAGAGCTGTGTGGATGAACGAATCCTACCCTCTATGTATTTCTATCGTGGTGCAACTCGACCTTCTTTCCCTCCAACCTTCTTGCAGTGTATGTGCTGATGTTCACCTGCCTATTAGAGCAATGGTTCCCCAACCTTAGTAGCATGTAGGAATCACCTGTACGTGGTTTATGAAGAGCACAGCTTTCTGGGCCCCAGGCCAGAAGACTCTGTCTAACTCAGTCATCTGGGATGGGACCCAGAAGTCCAGTTTTTACACACACTCATCAGATGGCTCTGTAGGAGGCTTGAGCACATAGAGGAAGAGTGTCACACTTTGACCATACTAAGTACCAAACAAAGCATAGAAGCAAGAAAAGAAATGGAGTCCTTTGGCTTATGTGAACTATTGTCATTCATTCCTTCACTGAACAGCTACTTCCCAAGCACCACTGGCTGGGGTGGGGCAGGGAAGTCCCACACAGCTCCTGCCTTCTTCACAACACACTAGGTGTGTCCAAGAGAGACCGTGTCAGGAGCCACAGCATGCACACTGTGGTGCAGACCTGGGCACAGCACAGAGGCGGCCATGGAAAGAACCCTCATGGCTGGAAGGTTTAGCTTGAATACTCAGGACATCTTCCTGACCCTAAATTAACAAGAGACGAGAGCTGTGTGTAAGCTGGCCGACAAAGAGGACGGGACATCTGTCCAGCTCAGGGCTGTTGGTGCCAACACTCAGTCCTTCAGGGCTCAAGGACGGAGCCTTGCCTGGGGACACTATGCCTAGGTTCATATTTCATGGCGGCAGACCCTGAAGCAAGAGCCTAAGTCCACAGAACTCATGGTTTCCAGATGGCACAAGGGGCTGGGCCCAAGGGAATCTTTGCTTCAGTCCCAAGATTTAGTTCTTTTTTTTTTTTTTTTGAGTTGGAGTCTCACTCTGTCACCCAGACTGGAGTGCAGTGGCCGCTCCCAGCCACCTCAGCCTCGACCTGCTGGGCTGCGGCGATCCTTCCGCCTCAGCCTTCCAAGTAGCTGGAACTACAGGTGCACACTACCATGTCCAACTAATTTTTTGATTTATTGTAGAGATGAGGTCTCACAAAGTTGCCCAGGTAGGTCTCGAACCCGCAGGCTCAGGCAATCCACTCACCTCAGCCTCCCAAAGCACGGGATTACAGGCTGAGCCACCGAGCCCGGCTAGGATTTAGTTCTTGAAAGAGACCACATAACAGCTTTAGTCCTCAAGAACACAAGAACAGGAAGCTGAGTTGCCTATTCACTAAAATTTGTCTCCTTTCATTTTTGTAGAAGAAACGAAAGGGCCCTAAAATAAAATTTTATAATTATATAGCAAATATCTAAAAGTTTCCATCAAGAACATTAAGCACTTTCAGGGATTTAATAAAAGAAAAAGAAAGAAAGAAAGAAAAGACAACTCTGTTTTCTGCAATGAGGTCACAGAGGAGTCGTTTCTGTTTGTCCTGTGTTTTTCCTTCTGGCTCAGCTGCGTGGAAGGCTACCACGCTGCTGCCGTTGGCAACAGCCTCCCTCCTGCTGCTGCCTCCCTTCCTCCCACCCCTTTCCCAGTGTAACTTCCATGCCACCCAGTCTTCCAGGGCCCTGCGGGGTGGGAGCGGCAAAACGGAACACCCCTCTCTCATGATGTTTCGCTCAGTGATGTTGTCACTTTCCTAGGTATTCTATTTCATAACAAGAGATTGAAAATATTATTTACCCTGTCCCCATCCCAAGACAAATTGCTGTTCATGTAAACAGTAGGCTCTCCAATGCCAGGAGGGCAGATGCCTGTTTAAGCTGCCATAAGGCACTGCGCCAAAGGGCCCAGAGCTGACCTGGAAGAAGACGCCTGTGTTCAAGGTCCACAACATGCCAGCGAGAGAAAAGGACCATTCCACACTCAGTCTGAAGCTCCCATCCACAGAGCGCCTGTCCCTCCAGCCTGACTCTCAGTCCACAAGGCCAGAAAACATCTGCACAGCCCCTTTCGGTCAGTGGAGTCCGGCCCATCTACATTTCAACTCTATCAGCAGATCTACATGAGTGTTGGTACTGACAGACCTAGGCCTTGATAATAACTATAATAAAAGCAGTAAAGAAAAGACAAGTCATGGTCTAAAATGTGGGCTAATGTTTATTTTGCAGAGGGAGGATACAAATGGGTTTTTTTTTGTGTGTTTCTCTAAATTTCTCAAAATAAATTTTTAACTTGAATTTTGACTGGCTAAGTCATTATTAAAGACTTGTTTAAGGTCATAATGAACTGTAGAGTGAAACACATGACTTCATTAACTCAAATTTACTTTAACAAATACAAACATTTTTATTCATAGTGTTATTCAAGGCAAAAACGTTTGCTCAGCTACCTTTTTGACTAGACTATGAAAACAGACTCAAATTTGTCAGGTAAACTTGTCCACTGTTATCTTTATGATTATTCAAACATTTGATCTGAATTCAACATACATAGTTTTAAAATATATTTTTTCTAAAGAACTGCAGGGTAGTGTGAACCATGCAATAAATGGGAAACCCTGCAGATGTCACAGAAATAACTATTCATAGGAGACATAACTTTCAAGAATATTTGAAAATCTGCAGATAAAAAATACTGATATAAAGAACTAAATACATGAAAAAATAATCAAGTTTCAAAGAAGGCTAGCCTATGCAACATAGCAAACCACAGTCACCACAAAAAAATAAAAAATTAGCCAGGAGTGGTGGTCTGTGCCTGCAGACCCAGCTACTTGGGAGGCTGAGGCAGAAGGATCACCTGAGCCCATGAGGTTGAAGCTGCCGTGAGCGTGCCACTGCACTCCAGCCTGGCTGACAGAGTGAGACCCCATCTTAAAAAAAAAAAAATCTCCAAGAGGCTTTAGATAAAGTGGACAAGAGATCACATATTGCAGAATAGAGCATCAGACATTTCAAAATTCCCTTTTGAAGATACATCTCTAATGAACAAGCTTTTTTGGCTTAGTGTTTACTTTTTAATGTAAAACTTCAAATGTAAAAAAGTAGACAGAATAGTATAATGAACTCCTATGTACAACGTACATCATTCAACCTCAACTATTACCAACTTGTGGCCAGTTTTGTATCATCTATTCACCCTTCCCCCAGTTATTCTGAAACAAATTCTAGATGTATCATTTTATCTCTAAATAGTTTGATATGTATCTCTAAAAGACTGGGATTTTCATGACTATAAAACTGGTGTTTATTTTGATTTTGTTTTCTTCTCCCCACTCCTTCAAATTTTAAATAATGGTGGGGTTTGTGTTATTGATGTCTCCAGAAGGGCTATGATACCCTTTAATTTTTCTGGTCCTTCCAAAATTAGCCACGAAACAATTCTTAAAACTAGTTGTATACAAAAAGATTGGTGTTATTTTGTTTTAAACTCTAAATGGAAAATACTTTTTAGCTAATCATTCAACCTAACTACTTGTTTTATCACACTGGCCCTAACTCTTTAGGGCTAAAAGTTCAAGTCCCAACTGAGTACTTTATTCCTTGATGAGAACACAGGGAGTAATAAACTGCATGGTGGTGAAAAAAGGAGGGGTAGCATGTACCCACTTTTACCTTTACTGGCACTAATAAAGTCACAAATGACCCCCACGAAGGAATAATGAGGAGAGGCACTGGGAAGCCCCACAAATCAGAGGTCTTTCAACTTCATCCCAGAAATAAAAACACTTTGCTTTTTAAAACTGCTGCAGCCTCAGGAATGATTATTAACAGGATCCAAAGACCAAGGACATCCCCCCTCCCACCAAATCCTTAAGAAACACTAAGAGCAAAAGAAGGGAAATGAAGTAACAAACTTTTACTTCTAGCTGGAAGCCAAAACCAATTAAATCTTGGTTACCTTATAGCGTGTTTGTTCCACATCATAGATCTTTTTCTCTGATACCATTTTTGGGGCAAAGAATTTGGCTAGCTTTGCAAGGTAAACTCCATTCCGGAGCCCTTCTTCCAGCTCAGTGGTCGGTGGCAATTCTTCAACTAAGCAGACTTCCATCCACCTAAAAAGATTAAAAAGAAACTTAAAGTGACTCCAGCTGGGTAAATTTCTGTAAATGGAGACAGGCAGCATTTCACTGTGTATGTTGGAGACAAAGGGAGCAGGATCTGAAACATCTTCAGGTGTCACTGGTGGGAAGAGGTAGGACAAGGATTCAGAACATGAGATGAACGGGGGGGCTAAAAACCTAGAGGCATTGAACTCATGACCATGCCAGAGCTTGTCAGCTTCACCTTTATCTGAGTCTCTGCCAATTTCCCTTTGTGCCAAAGAGGAAAAAGTCCAAGTCATTTTATATGGGTGGAATTAGTCCCGCTGACATTAAAGAAAAAATAATTCCAAATTTATGAGCCCTTAGCAGAGGTAAGCCTTGTAGGGGTTGTGCCTTGGGGAGCGCATAGTCAAACTACTATAAAACCTGCGGTTGCCTCAGTCCAGAAATGACTACCAGGAGAGGTAGGAAGGCGTGGAAATGGGCAGCAGAAATGTAAAAAACAGGCGCAGTCTTCTTTGAATAATATACACTCCTTTTTCCAATGCCAGGAACTTACTATTAATACAGTATGCTTGTCTTTTGGGAAAGATGCAGTACTTACTGGGTTCTGAAAAAATGTTTTCGACAAAAGATCAGATTAAATCTTAGGATTGCGCCAGTGTTGTGCCAAGGTCATTATTGGCTCAAGGACACAGTGGGGAAGGAGTCAGGCAAGTTCACATTTCATGCTGGTGTGCCAAGGACCAGCCAGTTATGAGGATAATGCTATTCCTACCCATTCTCAAGTGACTATTACCTACTCCAAAGGCAGGGGTACACTCCTCAGCAGGGGAGCCCCCCAACTCCCTGCCACCCAGCCATGAATCCACAAATCAAATGCTTAATGCGAGCACTATACTTGTATTGACAATGCCCCCAGAGGATCATTAACCCAACAGCAACTGATCTTGTCAACATTTGGAAGACAGTCAAGCACTGTGCTACAATACTGATCCTGACACAAGCTGCAAACACTAAAGTGCCTGGACTGCTTGTAGCTCTGGACAACATCTTTTAAATGCTCATTGAGCTCCTAGTAAGTAAAAATAGTAGTTCCTGATCACTTACTAGGTACTATAAAAATAGAATACAGTAGCCCTCCTTATCCAAGGTTTTACTTTCCAGTTTTAGTTACTCAGGGCCAACTGCAACCTGAAAATATTAAATGGAAAATTCTAAAAATGAACAATTCGTATGTTTTAAACTGCAAGTTATTTTGAGTAGCATGATGAAATTTTGTGCCTTCTTACTTTATAACCTCTTCATCAAAAGAGAGGTGAGTACAGTATCGTAATACTGAGACAGAAGCCACATTCACGTAACTTTTAGTATAGTATATTGTTATAACTGCTCTATTTTATTAGTTATTGTTGTTGATCTCTTGCTGTGCCTAATAAGTTAAACTTTACCACATGTATGTATAAAAAAAACATACTATACAGAGAGTTCAATACTATCTGCGATTTCAGGTTCCACTGGGGGTCTTGGGACAGATCCTTCTTGGATAAGGCTATATGAGAAAAACATACATGTAAGCCCTGTCTTCAAAGAGCATTAAATATAATTGAGAAGACAATGCAATTACAAGTAAAAACCAGACAGCTGTATTAGAGAGGCCATTAGGTCCAATGCCATGTGATGGAACATAATAAAAAAAAAGTCTAGGAATAAAGAGAGATCATTGGGTTTTAACTGGAGTAATCAGGGAAAACACTGACCAGGTGGTGGAACCTGGACTTGGCCTAGAAGAATGGAGTACGGTAGTCCTTCCTTAACATCATCGACAGCTTCCTGAAGACTGTGAATTTCAGCAAAATGACATACAAGGAAACCAATTTTACCATAGGCTAATTGCTATAAACAAAAGTTAAACAAGAGTTAAGTTTAATGGCATATTTCAGGTCACAGAAATATCACCAAACTTCCAAGTGAAGACCAAAACGCTTCTAAATATTAAACACTGAAATAGATGTGAGCTACACATTCATTTAAGAAAGATTAATAAAAACAGGCAAGGCTGGATTCGGTGGCTCAGCCTGTAATCCCAGCACTTTGGGAGGCCGAGGCAAGTGGATTGCCTGAGTCCACTGGTTCGAGACCAGCCCAGGCAACTTGGAGAGACCTCGTCTCTACAATAAATCAAAAAAACTAGCTGGGTGTGGTAGCGTGTGCCTGTAGTTCCAGCTACTTGGAAGAATGGGACGGAAGGGTCGCCGGAGCCCAGCAGGTTGGTGCTAGGGTGGCCATGAGTACTACAGACTGGGCGACAGAGTGAGACTCCAATTCAAAAATTAAAAATAAAAATAAAATAAACACAGGCAAGATAATTATTCACCTGTGGCAGAAAGGGGCTAAAAACAGTTTAAATTATTCCTTTTTAAAAATCAACCTGCAAGCTCCAAACCTGCTAGACATGGGACATGAGAAAACTAAACAGCCACAAGCAGCTTTCCTGGAAATGCAAGATAGTAATCGATTCACAATCTTATCCCCGCATAGTTTACAACCCCTGCTTGTCATGTATACCCTGGAGATAACTTGTTCTTTGAAAATCTGGTTTTGCTAGATACCACCTTGCAAATTCCAAAACCCAACCCCCTTCCTTACCTAAACTAACATATAAAACCCCTCTCCTCTTTCTCTGGGTTGCTCAGCTTTGGAGCATTAGCCCACTGAGTCACGCCGGCACTAATAAAACACTACTTCCTAAGATAGCCTCGGTGTCACAGTCTCTCTGTTTTCCCGCAACACACCCACTTATTCCAGTTCAGGGTTGTATGGCTAGAGCCTGTCATGGCAGAACCAGCCCTCAACAGGGCTCACCCCATCACTGGGCCACTCACATATACCCACATTCACACCCAGGTGGGGACCATGGAAACACAGCAGTGATCCTAACATGCACAGCTGTGGGGTATGGGAGGAAACTGAGTGCCTGGGGAAAGTCCATGCAGACAGGGAGACAATATGCGCACTCCTTGGACAGTGGCCCTGGTCATGAAGCGATTTTGTTTTCCTCATCAAAGTGATGACAAAATGATGTTGAATGGGAAAACGTTATTCGGGGACCTGCTGTAGCTAGAAGGCAGGCAGAGAGCTGGCAGTTGGAGAACTAGACAAACCATAGGCACAGACTTGGCTGATGTGCAAGGTAAGCCAGGGAAGACTGTGGCCTTTGATGTGCACAGGGCACCCAGAGCAATGCAGCTGGACATTCACTGCAAAGTCAGGTTCGAGGACCCAGCTCAAGAGGAGAAGTGCTGATATTTGTTGCCATAGGAAGCAGGGAGCTCCTGGCAGGCTCGGCGTAGAATGACATGCTAACAATGGTCATTAGAGAAAATTATCTGGTATGATGAATGCCTCAGAGACCCAGTTCTCTATCAGGTGGTGTTGAGGGGCTAGATCAATCAGGAAGACATGGGAAAGAAGGAAACCAAGAAACATTTCCAGGATACAGAAATGGGACTTGGTGACAGCAGAGAAAAGGGGATAAGACTGGGCTCAGTGGCTCACGCCTGTAAACCAGAGCTTTGGGAGGCTGAGGTGGGAACATTACTTGAGGCCAGGAGTTTGAGAAACGGGGGTCAAAGGAAAAAGAAATATCACCAGTCAGAGAAAGAAGAACAAGGTGAAGGGTGTTCTCTGCACTAGGACTTAGCCACACATTAGTAGCGACTGCCAGCAAGTCCCCTAACCTCTTTGGGCCTCAGTTTCCCACCTCTAACAAAAGAGGCGTGGTGCTAGCCAGAAGAATCTGATGATAAAGTCCTTTCCAGGGCTAACACCCTAGGGGGTCTGTGAAACTGGAAGAACAAGGAACAGGTAAGATGAGATGTCAATGAAATTGGCTTTTCACACATCATGCACAAGGTAAGAAAGGACTATTAACTGAAGTAAGAGTAGCATGGACTTGCCAAATTATTAAAAAGGCAAGAAATCAACAATAACATGCATTAAAAAAAATCTGGCCAAGGAAGAGTCACAGCAATAGACCGAGATTCTAAGTGCAATAAACTAATTAGAGTATAAAACAATTACAAATTAAAATACAATCTATTTTCAAATAATTATCTTTAAAAAATTTAAGGAATTTTGTTACACAATATTTCAACCTCGTATCGGGATATATGTGTGAGTAGTATGTGTGTGGGGGGGTGGTAAACTGACAACTGGGAGCAGGGCAGGATGCTAAAATTAAAACTCAAGTTGGGCTTGGTTTTTTTGAGCTGATTAGTTATTTTTTAAAATCTGCATTAAAATATGTGTGCATTTGGTTTAAAACACTGATACCAAAACATAGGTTAGCTACAGCCTATTTAAAATACAGCCACGGCTAATTCTTAGGACATTATGAACTGCTCAAAGGCAGAGGCCACCTCTTCTTTCTCTTTATAATCCCTTTGTGCCTGGCAACAAAGCAATACCTGATATGTGGTTATTAAAGATTTTGGCTGCTGGGAGGCCGAGGCAAGTGGATTGCCTGAGCCCGCGGGTTTGAGACCTGCCTGGGCAACTTGGTGAAACCTCATCTCTACAATAAATTAAAAAATTAGCCGGGCATGGTAGCACGCGCCTATAGTTCCGTCTACTTGGAAGGCAGAGGCAGAAGGATCGCCGGAGCCCAGCAGGTTGATGCTGCAGTGGCCGGGAGCGTGCCACTATACTCCAGTCTGGGTGACGGAGTGAGACTCCAGCTCAACAAAAAAAAAGAAGATTCTGGCTGCTTAAGAAAAAAATTTCCAAGCATCACAAGTATGTCATAAAATATTTTAAGACATTGACAAAGACTTACAAAATGTTACATGTTTGCAACATTAGGCATCAGTGGAGCGACCTCCTTTTCGCTACCTTGACGCTATTATTAATAATGATAGTTAGTACTTATTAAGCACTATTTTGTGTCTAGAACTTGGATTTAATGCTTTATGGAGATTATCATTTAATCTTCACAGCAACCCCAAAAA